TTCATGTCACTCCAGCTCCCAAAAGACAAAGCCTGGTCTGGTAGAAAATATTCATTTTATACGCTCTCTGTTCCCTCTGCAGCCAGGGCACAGGCTGGGAACGTGAACTAAAGAATGGTCTCTTGGAAGAACGTTTCCTCAGAGACTCCAATAGGTGACCAGAGTGGCGTAAAGCAGGGCTTCTCGCGGGAAAACCTGGCACAGAGTCGGGGCCAACTTGTTAAGATGGGGTGTTTGTTCCATGAGATAAGGGGTATTTGGCACGACGGTGACTCACAGAAATCTACCGCTTGTGCACACCAGGTTCCTAAGGAAATCGGGATTTTAGAGACTATGATGGCATTAGGTTCCCAAGGGTGAATGGAAAATTAGAAATGCTCCATTTAAAAACAAAAAACCAAAAACCTTACTTCTTCATTTGACACTTGTCCCAGAGATGACCCTATTCTGTCTTCCCTTCCTTGTGGAACCCTCATCCTGTCCCGTCTCCTCCCCAAACTGGTTCTTGTTGGGTGAGCTAGGAGGAGAATAAGACACCTACAAAAGTCTGGCCTAGTGCTTCTCCCCATCCAGTGTGGGGAGAGGAGGCAGGGCTACTCCCTGGTTCTGTTTGGTTTTGATGTGGTGTCGTGGAGGGGAGGGATTGTAAGAACGTCCACAGCTTGCTCAGTACAAACTGCACCCCAGAGGATCTGTAGGATGCACTCCAAAATGGGAATACAGAAAGCTTTCCACCCAACGACAACCGTTCAGGAGAATCCTGTCTGTGTGGTAACGACTCACAAAGGTTCTTTCTTAAGAGCAAACAAGGGTGAGGCTGCTATCATTTATGTTGATAATCTGGTCTGATTCAATCGACAGCATAAACGAGGATCAATTAATACTTTCTCTGCCTACAATAGACTATTCCTAATTTCCATGAACAATCACCTCTGTAAATACAAAGGCAAGAGTTGATCCAATCAAAGAGCCAAGTCGTTTTTTTGTCTTGTGGACAGAAAAATCTTGTCTGATAAAAGAAATAATGGCCCTAAAATGGCATTCCTGAAAAAGGAAAACAGTGCATGCAACACATCACTTGGACAGAAAGAAAGTGTTTCCAGATAATTATGCACTGTATGCTACAGGACTGAAGATAACTCATTAACGCTCCCTAGAGCAGCACACATTATTAAGAGGATATAACAAACTTTGTAATAAAAGTTCGTATATCCAATTATGGCATATGGTTTTCTGAGAGAAAACGCAATTCAAGATAGCCATGTCTTATGTAGATTTCAGAAGACAGTCTCATAGTGGGCTACAACATAAGCCCTCACCCTCCCGGTATGACAATACACATTCACACATGTGCACATGCTTTGAGGAGCCTTTTGTATATGAGGTCTAAACACAAAGTCGTAGAGCACATACAACCGCAAAGCTGGAGTAGAGGCAGAGATGACATTGCCTCATCCTCAGCTCCCACCAAGCATCAGCACTGGGTCTGAAAGGCCTGGGGAGACTCGGCTTTCATCTGTGATGGAAGGCAGGGCACAGTTGGGTGAGTAACCACTTCCTTTCAGATTAGAACTTGGTGTGTCTCTGACTCTTTTGCCTGCTCTTGAGACTTCCTCCTACTGGTTGCCTTGTCCAGTCTCAATAGGAGGGCTGTTGCTTTGTTGTATCTTGTTTGGTCCTGTTTGGCTGTTGTCTCTTGGGAGGCCTTCTCTTTTCTGAAGAGGAAATGGAGGGGGAGTAGATATGGGGGAGAGGGGAGTTGGGGAAGAGGAAACCGTGCTTGGGATGTATTGCATGAGAGAATAACCTATTTTCAGGTAAAAAGAAAAGTTCGCACACAAAAAATCAGAACTCATAAGATGCCCCATTACTAGTCCTCAGTCTTCCAAAGGCCAGCAGCGCCCTAACTTTAGACAAACTAGTTAACGCCTCCACGGCTGGTTTGTTCACCTGCATGACTTGTGGCTGCTCCTTGACCACTGGGGTTCTCGATCACATCAGTATTCAGGAATCCGGAAATCACTGGCTCCCTCCACCTCTCCCATGGAGCTAACACTTCATGCTTTTCCCTTGCCTCTCAAGAAATGGATATGCAAGAGAAACTTCAAGCAGTTTTCAAAGACAGATCACAGCCTTCCTCCTTCCTCTTTTCGCCCATGCCCCTTGGTGGATGCCTGGCTCTTGAGCCACCATGTAAGATGTCCAACTACACAAGAACAACCTAGAAGAACCCAGAGGATGGTGGGGCACAGCTATTATCACAGCACTCAGGAGAGAGAAGTAGGAAGACTCAGAGTCTGAGGCAACCTGGGTAGACAACAAAATTATAAAGGGGAACCATTTGTGAAGAGGAGAGAGATATCCGGGAGAGGTCCACGGGAGACAGGAGAGGATAATGGAGGAAAAGAAACGCCAAGAACACACAGGGTAACACATGCCTCAGGAAGACTATCTGTTTGTACCTTCTAGCCTAGGTGATGCTGCAGAGAGAGCAGCCCTTGAGACCTAGGCCAGCATGTGACCTCTTGCGAATCCTTTGCCTAGAAGCACTCAGCTTAGCCGTTCCAGAAGCCCCGGCTCACAAGCACAGAGAGGCAGAGTGCATCACTACTGCTCTTCAGCCACTAACATCGGGGTGATTTGTGTGTGGGCAGCCAAGGTAACCGAAGGGGACTAGGTGAGGAAAACAAACAAACAATTAAAAAACACACACACACACACACACCTGAAAACTGCTACCTATCCCCAAGGTCAAACAAGAACTCTTCTGTATTCACAAGAACCCGAGAAAAGATGCTGTTGAATTCTTCAAGAACGGTGAAGGTAAATACAACATACCAACCTGTGCCATGAAAAAAAACAACACAAGAATAATCCTAGTTTTGTTTCCAAACTTGGTGACTTTATATGGATTTTCCTGCGTTCCAGAGTAAAGGAAATGTAACAGGACTGACCCTAAGTGGAACCAACTACAGGAAAAAGGGCATACTCCAGTTACTTCTGTGTAGGTTCGATACTTCAGTTTGCTGGCTTCCTACTTCCTGTCTCTTTAGTAAACCACGTCCAGTAGATACTGTGTGTTTCTTCAAACACAGCTCTGAGAAACATGGGGAAGTAGAAGGGTAAAAGAAACGGAAGTAGGATGGATGGACAGACAGATGGATAGAGATCAGATCTCACTACGTAGCCCTGGCTGGACTGGAATTTGCTATATAGACTAGTCTGGCCTCTGACGCACAGAACCCACCCACCTCTGCCTCCCAAGTGCGTCATTAAAGGTGTGTGCCATCACACTCGACACAATGTCTTTACTTCTGAAACAGGGTAAGGGTACGAGCCCAGGCTGGCCTTGAACTTAAGATCCCCTTGCTTCAGCCTCCCAAATGTTGGTTTTGCAGACTGTCTTCATCAGGGTTTCTACTGCTGTGAAGAGACACCATGACCATGGAGAATCTTATAAGGAAAGATTTCATCGGCATTGGCTTACAATCCAGAGGTTTAGTCCATTATGGTCACGGCAGGAGGCCTGACTGCATGCAGGCAGACATGGTGCTGGAGAAGGAGCTGAGAGTTCTACATTCAGATCGGCAGGCGGCAGGAAACGAGCCAGACACTGGCCCTCCTTGAGCATCTGAGACCTCAAAGCCCCACCCCACCCCAGGCCACCGTTGACCCCGTAACATACTTCCTCCAACAAAGCCACACCTCCTAACAACGCCACTTTCTATAGGCCTATGGGGGCCATCTTCATTCAAACCACCCCACAGGGCTATAAACACATTCCAGGGCAGTAAATGAAAGTGGCACCTGTCATCAGCCCACACAGCCAGCCAGCCGGGACACTCAAGTATCCTGATGAAGTTGAACCAAAAGCAGTGTCAACAAAGTAGCAAATAGTGACCTGCAGGCTGGATGTGGCCGTGAACAAACTTTCCTCTCAGCCTCCCCAGGAGGGTTTCAAAACAGGAAACCTCCCATTAAAAAGCCAGGCTTTAGGTCTGGCTAGACGGCTCAGTGGGTAGAAGCACTTGCTGATCAGGCTGGTGCTCTGAGTTCAGTCTGAACCCGTGAAGCTGTCCTCTGCCCTTCGTGTGTGTGCTGTGACACACACACATGCATATACATATGTGCACACACACACACACCATTTCTAGCAACCCTTTCCTTCCTGGTCTTCCAACCAGCTGTGTTTACCGCATGGCTCTTTATTGGGTACAAGTCCCCATCACTCCCGACTGTTTTATGCCTGAGCTCAGGTCACCCTCGACATTTCAAGTCACTGTGGGCATTTGAGTTTTGGGTCTCATGACCATCACCAAGAGAAGAGTTCACATTTTAACTCTCTCTCTCTCTCTCTCTCTCTCTCTCTCTCTCTCTCTCTCTCTCTCACACACACACACACACACACACACACACACACA